TATATATATATATATATATATATATAATGATTATTAACATTGATAAAGACATATGTAAAATTACACAACAATCTAAAGATGACACCATTTTGAGCAGTTTCCAATAAATAATACCTGAAAATCATAACAGTAAATATAACATACAGCAAACTTACCGATGCATGGATTACTATTGGAAATATCTTTATTTACATCTGATACATTATATCCTTCCCAACAAAAGCATGAGAAGCTTCCGTTGTAATTGTAACAGTGAGAGTTTAGTCCACACACTGATACTGAATCAAGACATTCATGAATATCTGAAATTAAAAAAATTAAAAAAATTATAAGGGGACAGGTTACAGTTGACAAAAAATTTAGTCAGAATAAACAGTTACTGTTCAGAGCTTCAGCTGTCAATCATACCTTTGCATGTGTTATTGCTGTTTATAGGGAGGTTTGGGTCTGTTACATTATATCCACTCATGCACGAGCAATTGTAACTCCCAACAGTGTTGTTGCAGATTGAGTTTGGACCACAGATGTCTGATATCTCAAAACATTCATTCACATCTATATTAAAAGGAAGTTATGGGGAAAAGAAGAGTTTGGATCACTCATACATATGTGAAGGTCAACTCATACTTTGAAATCTTTTAAACAGAATGCTTACAAAAATGAAATAAAAAGTAAAAATCAATTGAATAAACTGTAGCTAATTATTCAAAGTTAGAGTAAACACAAATCTAAATATAAAACGTACCTCTACATGTGTTATTGATGCTGATGGTGAGACTTGAGTTTGTTGCAGTGAATCCATCCAGACATGAGCAATTGTAACTTCCAATTTCATTTGTGCAGTTGGAATCTGGACCACATACAGATGGACTGAACAGACATTCATCTTCATCTATGGAAAAAGTAAAATACTAAAATAAGGGATTACTTTAAATATTTAAAAAAAAAATTAATTTAATTACAATTATAACAGTACAAGTAGCTTCCATTTTCATTGTAACAGTGAGAGTTCGGCCAATACACTGATGGTGAATCAAGACACATAAATATTTGAAATAAAATAATTCATAACTTCAAAGGTTACAGTTGAAGGAAGTACAAATAGTAACAAACTGTTCATTGCTTCAACTGTCAATCCTACCTTTGCATGTGTTATTGCTGTTAATATGGAGGTTTGGGTCTGTTACATTATATCCACTCATGCACGAGCAATTGTGACTTCCAACAGTGTTGTTGCAGATTGAGTTTGGACCACAGATGTCTGATATCTCAAAACATTCATTCACATCTATATTAAAAGGAAGTTATGGGAAAAAGAACAGTTTGGGTCACTTATACATAAACGACAGTCAACTCAATCTTTGACATCTTTACAAAAGAACGGCTTGTTTATATTGTTTACAAAAATGTATATGCAAAGAAAAAAACAGAAATACTAGCTAATTATTCAAGGTTATAAAGTTAGAGTAAACAAAAATATAAATATAAATATAAAACGTACCTCTACATGTGTTATTGATGCTGATGGTGAGACTTGAGTTTGTTGCAGTGAATCCATCCAGACATGAACAATTATAACTTCCAATTTCATTTGTGCAGTTAGAATCTGGACCACATACAGATTGACTGAACAGACATTCATCTATATCTAGAGGGGGAAAAAAATCACAAATATAAACACCTAAAACATGAAAGCGAAATGGTATTTCACAGCATACATCTACATCTATACAAGGAGAATAAGGATTGAGAAAGAACAACATCACCATCCCTCCCCAGACATAAGCAATTGTAACTTCCCATTTCATTCAAGCAAATGGAATTTGGACCACATACAGATGGACTAAACAGACATTCTTTTATATCTATTTAAAAAAGTGATTATTAAAAAAAAAATGTTTTGCAATAACAATTATAACAGCAGTTCAGACAACACACAAATTCAGTCAAGACACTAATGAATATTTGAAATAAAATAATTGGTAAAGTGAAAGGTTACAGTTGAAGGAAGATTCAAGCAGTACTAATAGCAACAAACTGTTCAGAACTTCAGCTGTCAATCATACCTTTGCATGGGTTATTGCTGTTTATAGGGAGGTTTGCGTCTGTTACATTATATCCACTCATGCACGAGCAAATGTGACTCCCAACAGTGTTGATGCAGTTTGAGTTTGGACCACAGATATCTGATATCTCAACACATTCATCCACATCTATATTAAAAAATATATAATTTGAGCCACTTGTTTCAGTATACGTAAGTGTCATCTGATCTAATGACTGGATTGCTCATTGCAATCTAAACTGCCATTCGGCTGTGAAGCCACCGGAAGTGTTCGAGCGGCCATCTTACTATTCCCGACCAGCAGAGAGCATCATTGACTGACAGCCAAAACCTTGACCTAAAATCACCACATTTGAAGTGTATGTAAATATGTGTATGTAAATGAATTGTTATTTAAGATGTTATCTGCAATGTTTATGGTCTTTTCGGGCAGGATAAGCGATATATTGAAATGGTTTAGGTGGGTGTGTCTGCTGCACATTCCCGACACAGGTAGCTCATCCAACACAAAATATATTTCTTTATGGAAGTAATTATGCAGGAAATATTAATATCTGGTATTAGCATCATAAATTGATTAAAATAAATATTACAATACTGTATTGAAAATCAAAGCTCATCAGGCATCATCTTGGAAATAAAGCTCATGTCTTTAAGTCCGTACCATATGTTGTCAGTGTATGCTTCAACTGTCAATCATACCTTTGCATGTGTTATTGCTGTTTATAGGGAAGTTTGGGTCTGTTACATTATATCCACGCATGCACGAGCAATTGTGGCTCCCAACAGTGTTGTTGCAGATTGAGTTTGGACCACAGACGTCTGATATCTCAACACATTCATTCACATCTATATTAAAAGGAAGTTATGGGAAAAAGAACAGTTTGGGTCACTCATACATATGCGACAGTCAATTCAATCTTTGATATCTTTACAAAAGAACGGCTTGTTTACAATATTTATATCCAAAGAAAAAAAACAGATAAATTCTAGCTAATTATTCAAGGTTATAAAGTTAGAGTAAACACAAATCCAAATATAAAATATACCTCTGCATGTGTTATTGATGCTGATGGTGAGACTTGAGTTTGTTGCAGTGAATCCATCCAGACATGAGCAATTGTAACTTCCCATTTCATTTGTGCAGTTGGAATCTGGACCACATACAGATGGACTGAACAGACATTCATTTATATCTGGGGGAAAAAAAATTCACGAATATAAACACCTAAAACATGAAAGCTAAATGGTATCTCACAACATTCATTCTACATCTATACAAGGAGAATAAGGATTGAGAAAAAACAATATCAAACAGACACACACACACACACACACACAAAACAGAAAAAGCATTATTTTGAAACTGTTCACACAAAGAAAAATGTGTCTATAAAAACTGTAGTTTAGAAGATTTTGAGAAAGATCTGGGCCAAAGGGCCAATTCCAGCAAGTTTAGGTCAATCTCCCTCCTGAGTGTGGAATGCAAAGTTTTCTTCTCAGTGCTTGCGAGAAGGTTGACCACCTACACGATGCAGAATAACGTCTCGGTTACGTATTGTAACCCTCGTTTCCTGAAGGAGGGAACGGAGACGTCACGTCGGATGACCAACGAATTGGGATCCCTACCAAAGGGCCACAGGTACTGCCCCTTCCAGTGTCCCATGGAAGCCCCCTGCGCCCCTACTTTTTGGCATAGACCAGCTACTGTTGCTATGGCACTACCCACTCAGTAAGACTGGATAACACAGGAAAAACGTATCCGGATCACTTGGGACAGGAATGTTGCGGAAGCCCCATCCTTCCCGAAGGAGGTTTCGGAAGCAGTGAGGGCCTGGTGCTGGACGCTCCGCCACGTCTGGCTGCCGAGGGGTCGGAGGAGCTCGACAGGGTCTACAATATGGACTCTCTGGAGCAGTTTTAGCAAGCCGACCCGAAGCCGGGGCCTCTCAGTGCTTCTACCTGTTTGAGGTGAGAACACAGGAGGATACCAGCTCCACACGAAGGCTATAGAATCTAGCGAACGTTCCACTTCAAGGCGTAAGCGTGTCTCGTAGACGGTGCTCTCGCCGAAGTGATCTAGGGGCACTCCTGCCCGGAGAAACGCAAGGTCTGACCACGGGTGATAGTTTGTCGGCAGGCCGGTGTGACTCGGACCCGGTGAGTGCCACGCAGCCACGCCCACCTCAGGACTCGGCCATAGAGCCAGTGCTAAAGTGGTCTCATATGAAGCAGCCCCAGCGGCGTGACTGCCGCTGCAGCCGCCATATGCCCCAGGAGCCTCCAGCTTATCCGAAGGCCCAACCAGCTGAGATGCGAAAGCACCAAGACCCTGTGTGCACACAACTGATCCTGAGACAGAGCTAGTACGAGCCAGTCGTCGAGGTAGTTGAAAATGTGAACGCTCTGTTCTCTCAAGGGAACAAGGGCTGCCTCTGCAACTTACGTGAAGACACGGGGCGACAGGGACAGCCCGGAGGGCAGGACCTCGTACTGATATGATCGTCCTTCGGACGCAAACAGCAACAATGGTCTGTGGTGCGGAAGGATCGGTTCAAGACACGCAGGTCCAAGATAGGTTGTAACCCACCGCCTTTCTTGGGTACAACGAAGTAGGGGATGTAAAACCCCATCTCCATATCGGCTGGAGGGACCTGCTCTATCGCATCCTTCGCAAGTAGGATTGCGATCTCCGCACGCAAGAAAGGAGCATCAGCCACCTTCACTGATGTGAAGCGGATGCCGCTGAACTTGGGGGGAGCCGGGCGAACTGAATCGCATAGCCGAGTCTGATGGTCCGCAGGAACCAGCGAGACGGTATGGGTAGCCAGGTACCCAGACACCACACAAGCTGGACCAG